GTAAGCGGCAGGGCCACTAGAAATGATGACCCGACTGATGATGGCTTTGATTTTTCCCTCCTTTGCCGTTATAAAACACAGCGTGCTCCGATGAAGGCTGGGGCAACGCTTTCCCCTGGAAGAGCTTTAGCGCTTGATGTGTAAACAAATACCCGGGCCAGGAGCCAGCACGAAGGCAGCATGGGCGACGGTGCCATGTAGGATTATGCCCAGGGGAATATTTCCCAGCTGCGGTTTCTGACTCTACATCCTGTAGTGCCGCTTGGTCCGCGGCACTTCACGTGTTGTCGTGTATTTACCCCCGCGGCCACGGGGCTGGGAGGTGGAATGCCTGGCCTGAGGGATGCAACAGCACAGAGAATCGAGTCTGGGCTACTCGCGTCCAAGTTGTTGTGCCCGAGCTGCTGGACCAGACCGTGCAGCCCTTCAGAGCCGGTACTTAAAGAGGTGTCTGTTTTCCCTAAAGAGAATTCTCCCCGTCTGTGCCTTGCAGGCATTACCACAGCATGGAGGTTTTTACCCACTATGATCTGTTGAACCTCAACGGAACCAAGGTGGCTGAAGGACACAAAGCCAGTTTCTGCCTGGAAGACACCGAATGCGAAGCAGGTATATTTGCCAGAGCCCTTTGTGCTGGGAATTTATCGCTGTCCCCATACAGGTGACTGGCTTCAAAGATGCTGTCAAAGTCCTGAGCAGGGCTGGAATGTGGCCTGACAGGAGCCAGAAAACCAGTCCCGAGGTTATGGAGTGGTCTCTACAGGTATAAAAGAAGCCCCGAAGGCCCTATATGCTGAGGTCTCCTTACATCCTTATTCTGAGCTGCTCTGAAAACCCAAGTGTGCGGTTTCTGGTGCCTGTAAAGTGAGAAATTCCAAAACATGCCTCGGGGTGATGAGGTGTGGAAGGAGGCAGCTCCTCCCGTATGTGTATTTCAATACAAGACGTTGAGCAAGGCACTGTTGTATTAAATCTCATCCAAAATACTGTGCCTGTAGCTTATCATAATCTATGGGCGTTGGAGAACAACTAGCCCTTGCTCTGATGTGCCTGAGGGTGGGAGTGTAACACTTTGTGCCTTTAACTGTTATCGTTTAGATGTGCAAAAACAGTACGAATGCGCCAATTTTGGTGAACAAGGAATCACAGTTGGATGCTGGGACGTGTACCGTCATGACATCGACTGCCAGTGGATCGATATTACTGATGTCCCACCAGGCGATTACCTCTTCCAGGTATGGGAGAAAAAAGGGATTTGAGACATTTTTGAGAAATTTGCTGTTGCTTTTATCTTATCCATTAGGGATGTCAAAGATGTAACTGACTGGTTTATTTGTACACCTCCTACAGTGCTATAAACTTCCAATTACAAAGAGATTATATTCCCAGGATACCTAAAAGATAAAGAATTACCAAACAGGACAACGAAGTGTTACCAGATCACATATTTCCCTGAGTGAAAAATCAGGGCCAATAACCACAGTTTAGGGATGATAGTCCTAAGAAATCCACGTGCAGCTAATACTTGATGGTCCTACACAATCCACGTGCAGCTACTGTTGTTAACACACTGTGTTACATGTCACATTATATATATGCACAGCATCCCACTGTTGTCTTGATCTAAGCTTTTGAGCTGTTTGTAAGCAACACTCGCTGCACTTGCGGATTAAATAGCGCTATTCTTGTGGTGTTTGCATGAGGAGTTAAGATTATGCCTACAGTCTGTTTTGTGCAAGTGGGTGGAGTGGGGGAAATTCTTTGGTTCTAAAACCAGCCACTTAAACTGGAGAGGAGTGAAGGGAAGAGGAATTATTTTTGTCTGCATTGCTATCGTGTGAAATGTAGAGAAGGTGTTTGAGGGTGTATCTTGGTGGGAAGGTGTGATCTTGATCTGGCTTTAATCAAGTAGTTTCTGTCTCCTTGCAAAATGAGTTAGGTTTTTCCTGTTAAAAAAAAAAAAAGTATTATGGTGTAATGAAAAAGCTGATTCTGTTTCAGTCTGACTAGTAAGTGTTATATCCAGTCCACCTTTAAATAACTTTATGCTGTGTTTCTCCATCACTCCCTAGGTTGTCATCAACCCAAACTATGAAGTTGCTGAATCCGATTATTCAAATAACGTGATGAAATGCAGGAGCCGGTACGATGGGCAGCGTATCTGGATGTACAACTGCCACATAGGTGAGAGTGACTTCTGCAGGGGGGGAGTTTAATGACTGTTGTGCATAGATCAGACTGCATTGCTGGCTCCTTGCTAGGAATTCTCTGTGCTTCCACTGCAACGTGCTTATGTGCTGTTTGTGTGCGCTTGGAAGGATGAGATACTGAACCCAAACTACACTGGTGCTATTTGCTGTAGACTGTTCAAAGGCAGATGCTGCCATGTCTCCGTTACAGGGTCAAGCTGCTACAGGTTGCAAAGAGTAGGATGGCTGGATGGGATGGGGCAGCTCGTTACTTAGTGCTGCGTTGTACAGGTTACGGGAGCAGCAAGCACAACACCGGTAAAACAGCTCTCTGTGCAAGGTCCGAAAGAAATGCCTCAGGCTTGGTAGAATGGGGATAACAGATGTTCCAGCTGTATCTCTTCTACAAAGCATTTTTCCCTCCCAAGGCTGTCAGACATAAAGAAGGCTCTCATGCAATCTGAGAACTTGTTTAGAGTGCCTGAGTAGGTCCAGGCAAACAACTACACCTTCTTCCCAGACTCAAATTATTACCAGCCTGGGACTGACCTCTTCAGACCCCAAAGCTTCTCTTTTGTTGAAGAGCAAACAAGGACAAGGGTGTGTGAAGTAGAGCAGTGGAAAAGGGCCCTCTGCTTGAGCCAGAAATGAAAGTGCTCTGCTGTCCCTTGAAAGTCATGGAAAACTGAGTATTTTCTTGAATACGTGTAAAACATTATCATTTGGAATTCTGGGGGGTCTTGGAAATATCAGAGCCAAACTTGTTTAAATTTGCATTAATCAATTGTCAAGACCATTTTAAAATGGAATTAAGTTGGGGGCTTTGTAAGATAATATATTTTCTGTGTTAAAAACAGTTTAACAGCAACTGCCTGCCAACCTCCAAATAAAACCAGTGGTGAAGGCAATTTCCAGAGCTGGCTAAAGTTCTTCGAAGAGTGTTTTTCCTGAAAAAAATCCATGTAACCACTGATTTTTCTCATTAAGTTTTTGTTGTTTTTTTTTTTTTAAGAAAATACTTGTCTCATATGTCACGCTTCAGATTGTGACCTAGTTCAGAAAAGCCAAACCCACTTCATTTGGATGAATGGGCACTGAAGTGTTGGATGGGCTCTCCAGCTGAGCTTGAAAATATTTCTATTTAGAAATAAATGTGTTTAGCTTTCATTGTCTCTCAACTAGCAAAAAGCAAAGGCATGGTCCTACTTAAGAAGAGTGAACAAACCCCACTTATCATCAGCCTCAAGGAGAGCATTTCACAGGTCCTGCCAGTCATTGCCCAATTTTTTTAAGCAACAAAGATTAGCAGTGAAATTGAGGGTAGGTTGTAGTCTAGCCTTCCAAATACATAAAAGACTAGATGTAGTACTCCTGCAGACTCGTGGCTGTTCCAGTTATGGTAAGATTTAATTAATGCTTAAATTAATTAGCCTAGAAAAATCTTTGCTCTTCTAGTACTTGCTTTGAGCCCTTCATTTTCACAGCATCTTTTGCAGATTACACAAAACCCCAGTGTGTTCTTTGCTTTGTGTTGCAAGCTGCCTTTGCTGCCTCCTGCTCAACCCTGTGCTCTTTCTGTAAACTCCCCAGGTGGCTCTTTCAGTGAGGAAACGGAACAGAAGTTCGATCACTTCAGTGGACTCACAAATAACAAGGTGTCCACCCGATAGAACGGCATCGCCTCCCACCCCACTATTTAAAGAACCGAGGTTTCCTGCTTCGGTGATTTCCCTAACCACTGCACAAAAAAGAAAATCAAGCAAACAATCAAACTCTAAATTTAGCAAGGTAAATTATTTTCTAAAGATGCCTTCCTTCCCAGTTTAGGTGCTCAGACCACCGTGTGTCTTAACTCCAGTCCCTACTACTGAGGTAGTTAGGAGCAGGCTTTTAAACTCTACTTGGCTCCATATCTTCACCATTCCAACCTTCTTCACAAAGATTTCTCCCTCCACTTTGCAGCGCCATCTTTATTCACAGATGTAGGTCCAGGCTACAGCAAGCACAATTTGCCTTTGTTTGGGTACCAGCAACCTAAATATGCCTTTACCATTCACTTTCTTCAAGGCATTAATCTTGGTATCTTTAAGCTCTTTGACTCAAGCTTGAACGCACCATTGAAGCAAACGCCTCCATTTGTGACGCTGCTTTTTGAACACAGCTAATCCTCAGTACTGCCACATCATTACTGCATTTTAGCAAAGAAACACAGGAAAGGGAAAAAATAATTGGAGCAGCTTTTTCTGGGCAGAACAGTATAAAGCGTAATTTAATACTGAAGTGAAACTCTTGTATTCAACAATCAACTCCCAACACAATCTCTTAAGCGGAGCAGCTAATGCAGAACTGTTTTCTACAAGTGCATCAGGGCTCCATGAAGCTACACCTCCCTTGTAACAGCTAGAAGACTTTGCAGATCTCCTGATGATGAGTCCACTGGACTGTGAATTTCCATTACACAGTAAGCTATGCACCCAATAGATTCTACATACATCTAAATATTACCTGCTAATTCTGGATATTCACTCTGTCTTTTCTTTAAAGGATAAATTTAGTTAAGGCATTGTATCATCACTGTACCTTACAGAGGTAACTTCATGGCTTTCATCATCAGGGATCTGGACCTGTGCTATCAGATCCACCTGTGTAAGTTGTTCTTTAAAAGGATTTTTACACTTGGTAAATTCATAATGGTGCTACGTGTGTTCCTCTGTTTGTTTGAGGACACACATTGCTACACATTTTCAGACACAGCTACTTGAATAAAAGTGTTTTACCCAGAAAAAATGTTTTATATGCCATTTGTGTATTTCTACTCCATGAAAGTTTAGGGCCTTGTTCACAATTCCTGGTACTGAAGTTTCTTCTCCCTCTGTGTTTGTACAGAAGACTTCTACAAGCAGCTAAAGTTAACTGAATACTTACAGCTGACCATTTCAATCCACAGGGGGAATTTAGACTGGCTGCATCTAACTTGTGCTCTCCATAACCTACCTCACAGGGATGTTGTGAGGCTTAAATAATGCAGAAGTAAGTCTTTTGCTAATGCCTGGTCAGAGTATTTCTGTCACTTATCCAGTGGCCCAGAGGGCAGCACCTAGCAAAGGTTTTTAGCCTACTGTGAGCTGGAAAACTCCATTTTGTTCTCAAGATGCCAGACTGTGCAGCAAAAGCAGAGTCTGAGATGTGTTGGATGCTCTGTTGCTGCTGCCACAACAAAGTGTCTTGCAGCATCTCTTAACACCAGGCTCTGGGCAAATCACAACCAGCAAGTTCTGGTTTTCTTTTCCTAATCAGTGTATGACAACTTTCCTTGCTAACAGTGCAACAAAGCAAGTCAGGCTCTTTAAACACTATGTAAATAAGGAAAAACCCTGAAACTCACTTGCATTCAATGCTTGCCACCTTTGTGGGATATTTTAACAATAACATTACAGCAAAGTAAACATTAAACAGCTTTTTTTTTTTTTTTGGACTCCTGCAGGTGCTCTGCTCTTGCTTACAGCTGAATTTTGGCCAAGAAGATACAATTCCCTTACTCTAAGGCATCTTTGTAAAAATTATAGAACAGGCTTTTCTGTAAGCAGCCTTACTTTCTGCAAGTGTCCCAGTGAATAACAGACACTTTGAAATGGAGTAGGGCAAGATGCTCTCCATAATGAAGAGCTAACAGCAACCCTCACAGGGCTTGGCTCTTGAGCTCAAGATCTCATTAATAGTAAACTTTTTCCCTTCCCAATTTTAGAAAGAAAAGATGGTGCTAATCCATAAGAGAACATCCCTGTGGCAACTCACTGTTCTGCATGCAGTTTAATATCACAGCCATGCTCATCTATACAAATTTTGTTAGCCGAGATGGTTTATTCCTCCTGGTCCAAGCTTTCCGGTAGGAGCATTTCGGTGCCCAAGACGCCCTGCTGCTTGTGCTTCAAACCCAAAGCCCGGGTCACCAGCCTCTTTGCCACCGCAGTGTCAGTCTGGGGTCTTTCTTTTGCAAGGTGAAGGAGCTCTAGGTAAAAATGAGTGAAAAATCATTAAGTTAGTGCTTGTTCAGGAGCAGTCTTTTGGCTAAACCCAAGGACTGGCAGACAGAAGGGCTGATTTGTATTTTCTTAATTCCTTTACAGAATTAGCCCAGGAGCATGAGCAAGTCCTTCTACCTCTATCCAGTAAATTGCCTTTTCTTTTAGAAAGATGTGCCTCCAGAGTTGTACTTAAGATTTTTCAATGACAGTTCAAAAGCTATTTGGCTATGATTAAGCTCCAGGCCTCTTCTGCAGTGGAAGAGAGAATTGTTCCCCAGTTGCTTTCAGGAACAGCTTCTTAACTGTTCTGGCAAAATTCACCAAGTCACATCTCTGAGAACAAAATGAAAGCGCACAGTCCAACCAATTTATTCATGCACAGTCAAGTTTGATCTCAATTTAGACTAATCAAAACCAGCAGTCTAAATCTTTAGAAAGCAGCAAGGAAAAACAAGATCTGCATGTTTTTTAAAAAGCTAAATCTATCAGACACTTTGGAAAAGCCCTTTGGCCAGTAAACTCCATTTTCTGGTAGACACGTGGCTTGCTACAGTTTCACCTTACAAGAACTGAATACACCAAAACTCTACCAAGTCCACAGAAGTCTGGATTTGGCAATTACCTAATCATTTATCAGCAACCATTTGCAAATTTATTATCCAGTTAGCAATGGGGGCTTTGCTTGCTTTTTCAGAAGTTTTATTAATAAAGGCAGCCCATCAGCAGCTTAAAGAAAAAGGGGCAGACTCAAAGCATCCGCAGCTTGGGAAATAAAACTGCCACTCTTTCTTGACAAAGCTCAGAGAAAAAAAAAAAAAGGAAAAAAAAAAAGAGACACTGTCAGCTAATTAAGATCCAAATTTGTATTTGGAAAAAAAAATTGCTACTTAAACTGAATACAGAGTTTATATATAATGTTCCCCAGAAGGAGTTTATAACCTGATTCAGAAGTGTGCCAATAGGCTAGAGCAACAAGAATCAGGAAGCATGAATGAAAATACATGAAGGGGGGAGTGCAAAACTAAATCCAATTCTTTGACATTTCATTTAAATCTAGCAGTCTTAAAAACTCAGGAACTTCTAACTGTGACAGTGTCCCTTTAAAGCAGTAATACTGATATTTGTTTCAACTGCAATGTACGGTAGAAATAACAGTATAGTTGTACATTCAGCAAAGTCTCTACTGCTACAAGATTCATGGCATTTCTTTACTGTGGCAAGTATAACTGATTACAGTATGATTTTAAAAGGCAATAAAAGAAATAGAACAATGTTAATGGCTAAGCTTAACAATTTTTTCCTTCGCCTGATACTGAATAAAATTATGCCAACCACAAAATGTAACTGCTGTGGGTTTCGTCTCATCTGTTATCTTTAACCACGCAGAGTAATAGGGCAGAGAAACTTACTGGCATTTGCCACGCTTTGTCTTACTGCAATCACTGCTACAGCTACACCCGTCTGCTGAACAATACAACTCTTCACTTAAAACTTCACACAAGACAAGCAAGTAACACAAGAAAGACTAAGCCTGAATTTCAGCAAACCACTTAGCTGAAGAGAAAACAAAAGCAACAGGATTTGATGCTTTTTTGATCCAGCCCTTGTATAGCAGGAGAGAGTGACTGAAAATTAAGCATAGGTAACAGCTGTAGTTATCTCTCCTGTAAGTAAAATCTAACATAGTCTTGTTCTGCAAATTTGTTTTTGTCATCACATTCACCTATGCCAACCACTCCTGCCTGCTGCTAACGGGCAGAAACCAGCATTACTGACACAGTAAGTTTTAACATAACTATGATACAGGTTGGCTGAAAATACTGTAAAAAAATGCATCTGCAGGCTTTTACTAAAGACTCTACACAACAGCTCACTGTCCTGCAATGTCAATAAAGCTATAAAAACAAACAAACAAAATAAATACTGGTCCTTAATATATATTTCCCCATTTAACCTGTCATCATGACCACTCAGGATACAGAAGTCTGGTAAACCAAGAAATAATACTACTAATAATTTAAAAAAAGATTGTCTTACTTGGTCGCTGAAGTGCCTTGATTTTAGACTGCTTTGTTGCATGGATCAATGGTCGGATCTTTAAAGAAGGATAACGTCGCCCCAGGGCTTGAGATGCTTCAAAAGAACAAAGATTGCTGAAATTAGCAGACTGAATATTGGTGGCTTTAATCATAAAAATCAGTACATGGTGTAACACCACCAAATAATTTGAGCTTCAGCAGCTGATGCGTTATCATCTCGGGACTCATACCAAAACAGCTAAGCTCATTCTGGTCACCTCAGGCTTACTTATATCACACATTCCTTGCATAGGAAGACTCCCAAGAAAATATAAACACATTTTAAAAAGACAGCTCTGTCATTATTACACTAAATCCCAAGAAAAGAGCCTAAGCTTTTGGACGACATACGCTGCTGGATGGAAACTTTTCTTGGGATGGCTCTGACCTGAGCTTGAGGTGTTTGCCCTGAGCAGATCAGTTTGCCAGGAGGCTTGGTGTCTGGACCTGTGTGCAACTGCACGTGTAAGGTCCCCAGGAGGTCACAAGCACTCGTTATTGTACGATTGCAGGAATTTTTGCCTGGTTCCAAAAGAAAAAAACCTGAACTGGCAAAACAGATTAATTTCTGGAAATGCAGCGTGAGTCGCTCCGTATACAAAAGGTGCCCTGGTTATTATCCAAGCCAATTAAAAACCTGCTATTCTTGCAAAGCAGAGTTTCCACACACCACCACAGTAATTCCAGCTTCTCAAGCCTTAAAAGCCTTTCAAGTTTGAAGCACGCAGGAAGAAAGATGTGATGAACCATGACTACCTTTGGCAACAGCTTAGCCCGAGCGCAAGACTCAACAGACACACGCTGCAAACCACCGCGTCAGTACAGGGTCACCGTGCAAGAGCAGAGAAACCCCAGCAGCTCTGTGGGTCCCTGAATCACAGCCACAGATCGAGTCACGCTACCTGTAGACAGGCTGGAGAAGATTCCCAAGGCATGTGTATCATCCACCCACTGGATTTTGAAGCCACTCTCACTGAAATGAAAAGACAATAGAATAATATTCATCAATAAGAAAGAAAAAAACCCACACACAATAAAACCCATCAGCCACCTCGAGTTATCAAGAGTAGTTAATATTTTTATGTAGACAGCTGGTGCTTTTCAAAGCATTATACCCTTTTTACATGAGGGGAAAGAGAAGGAAAGGAAGGCACAGAAGAACAGTAGATGCGCCCCTTTCAAGGCCACAATGTGCAATTCCCCCAGCAGCTGTCCCCAAGAACTCTCCTTCTTCTCTAAAGGAACCCTTGGCCAAAATAAACCAATTTCAGGGGCTGTCTTGTAACACCGAAATATTGTTTGTCATTTATGTAGTGCTCTATAAACACAACCCAATTGCTCAGACATCTACAATAAAAAGCAAGTCATTTATAAAAGTGGTTTACAAAGCTTAGAGTGAAGAAACCAATGTGAAAAAATCTAATAAAGTGTCAGTGGAAAATGTGAGTTTGGGAGCAGGGAGTTCCAAGATTTTCCTGCAGCACAGAAAATACAATCCACTGCTCAGATTAGATCTGTCAATTTTCAGCTCAGTTTCACTGTCACAGCAAGTGGAAAAAAAATACATTAGAGGAAACTCACACAACAGACAATAAGACAGCTTATTTAAAATGTAAATCATGTTTTTTAATTTAAGGGATCCGAAGAGGTGAAGTGTTCACATCTAATCCACCACGTATGTCAGAAGAGGAGGAGGAGGAGGAGGATGGTGGGAGGAAAACAAGGAGAGGTGCCTACAGACACCGTATCTGCACACTCTGGCAGAAGTGAGACTGATTCAGAGCTGCACCAACACCGTTTATCACTAATGAAGGGCTGAACTTTGCTCTGGTCCTGCTACTAATCCAATGTCATTCCCTTCAGCACAGGCCTCTGTTCCCCATTATTTACATAATAAATCTTATCTCCAACAGCAGGATTGAGCCCTTTTTCTTGCAAAGACTTATGTAAGCATGTAATTTCACTCAGGCACTGGAATGCAATAACAACGAAGCTCCTAGAAAGTACCTAAAGACTCTCACTGAGGCCAGAGCAGTAGGAATAAGCCCACACGTAGATAACTGTGTGTATGACAGAGCCCTGAAGAACCGGTTGTGTTTTAAATCATGCACAAACAGCAGGAAAACGTCCTTTCAGGCACAGAAAGCCTGTAAGACATAAGGGCATAAAGGTGAAACTAAAATTTAAATTTAATCAGGTTCTGTTGTGCATTCAAGTCTGAATACTACTCCCTTCAGGCCCGCAATGTGCTCAGGCTCTCGGAGAGGTACTCACTGGAAATCCGAGAACACTTCTAACAGGTGCTCCGTTTTCAGCGATGGGGAGAAGTCATAGATTTCAGTTACGTGGCCAAAATCCCCCTCGCTGAGCTGTGCATCTCCGTAGTTGGAATAATCAAAGCTGATCTTCTCAATGCTTATGTCCTTCACGGTTAAATAACCCACAATCTGAGAATATTTTAAAAAACCATAATAATTAAAAATAATCAGACAAGGTGTTACTTCGAAGAGCAATCCTCCAGGGCCCCACCTTGGTCCCTGCAAACCACTTCTGCGGTCACACGCCTGCCAACAGGTTCAGCAGCCACCTGGGGCAGCCCCAGCACAGGGACTCTCCTCCCATGGACTAATGCCTTCCCCTCGGGCTGACTCCTGAGCCAACCTCTTTTCCCCAAAGTTGCTCCCCACAACAATACCCGTGGCAATACACTACCTCTGCAAAGAGCTCTGCGGTACAGTCGTCCTCGAGGCTCCCCTGTCCGCAGATGGCCGCGCTCTCCCCTTTATCGCCTGTGGACAAATGCAGCTCACGACACAGCGCATCGGCCAAGCCCGAACACTCCTTGTCCTCCTCTTCTGCCACGGGCACCTTCCCGCTGCGGTTCTGCACGGGAACATCCTCCCAGCGCTCATTCTGGTTCTCAGGAGCCGACGGGTCAGCACCACAGACCGGCTCAGTTGCGGCCAGAGGCTCATTTTGGGCTTCTAGAGGGTTCTGGCATTGGGTATGCTCCACCTGGGCAGCATTGGGGCACTCTTGATCTTGGCTTTCCAGTTCGGAGAAACTCTCGCCTCCCTCCACCACGCCGGCATTCACAAAGTCCTTGCCCTGTTCTTCAGGCGGTGACACGTTTCCACCACTCTCCAGGCTCTTGGCAGCAGTGCAGCTCTTTCCTTGGTTTTCCAGCACCAGCGACGCTGCACTTGACTCTGCTACAGCCGGGTCCGTACAGCAGTTATTGCCGCGACTTTCTGATAGGGAGGAGTTTTTGCCGCACTCCAATACACCGGCATCCCGGCTGTTTTGGTCTTCAGCTTGCAGTTGGCACAGGATTTTGCTGTCTTCTGGTATAATAGTGTTGTCGCAGCTCAAATCTTGCTCTTCTGCTTCAGTTGGGCTTTTACTGTGTACAGAAGTAAGGGAATCTGAACAGTCTTTATCCTGACTTTCCTGCCCAGAGAAATCGTTACTATTCTCTAACGACGGGACATCCATACAACACGGAGGACATTCGCTGTTTGCGTCATCGTTATTTTTTCCTGAAACACACTCTTCGCCAGGCTCCTGTTGCTTGCCAAGGGCCAAGGAGACACCACCTGGGCTGCCTTCAGACTTGCCCAGCTCCTCCTGGGCATCCCCGACTGAAGCTTTAGGGCAGATCTCTTCTTCCCGTGCCATATTCCCACCCGACTCGGTGCCAGCTGCCACCGGGCTCTCCTGCTCCCCCCATTCTGCCTTCTTGCGCATCGCCTTGGGGATGTACAGCGCTTTATCTGGCTTCTTCCTGGGTGGCCTTTTTATCCTGCCAGACCCCACGCAAGCTCGAGAGTTGTCTCCGTGCATCTCCCCGCCATGCCGCAGCCTGCCGCCTCGGCCCCCCCGGCCCCACGGCTGCGGAGGTCGGTGCGGTCTCGGGGGGTTGCTGCTGGGTTTTTGGTCGCCAGTCTCGCTGGGCAGCCTGGGACCAAAAGAACGGCAGGATGTGAGCGGGGAGCAGAGGAACCCAAGTAACATGATATTTGCAAAAGATAGAGGAGGAAAAGCACCAAATCCACATAGAAATCAGCAGATCGGGGGGCGGGGAGAGCCTCTGCTTCCTTAACGACTGGAAGGTGCTATCAATAACAGACACCCTCCTCTTTGCAGAGAAGCAGCACACAAACTTTGTACTTGTAAGCTTGAACAAAAACCCCATGGCCATAGAAAGAGAAGCACTATTACATCCACTGCACTGTACCTTACAGCCGAGTGACAGATGACCGTCCTCCTCCTCCATCCTTCTCCCACAGAAAAGCTGCTCAACAAATCCACGTTGTCCACGGTCCGATGGATCAGGTACCTGAGGCGACTGGACAGGGGGGGGAACAGGAGCACTCTGAAAAGAGATGGGTTGAGGGCATCAATTTGCAGGAAGGAAAAAGACGGGGACGTAGCAAGAATTTAACACCCTCTCTACCCCAAGTCATTCCCATTGTAGGGTTTAATCCAAGCCCAAAAGCCAAGCAGGACTTTCTGGTATTAAAGACCCAAAATCCCTTTTCCATCCTAGATGTCTAGACAGACGTGCTCTCTTTGCATGTAGCACTGGGAGTGCGGGGCAGCTGGGGCTGCCTGGTCCCGGGGCCTTTGGCTGGGACTCTCATTCCTGCCTGTATCCGTTCTGGGAATGGCTGGAAAGTACCAGCACAAGGCTGTTACTTGTCCCCTTCCTCCCAGTCTGAGTGCGCTCCAGAAACCAGCAACTCAAAGAATATGAACGGATGAATAACCACCACATTCAATTCCATTGCTTTTAGACACATTTTTACAATTCCAGTTTCACTTGTGAGCATTTTACAATTGCACGGGTACTTTCTCTGCCAAACATTTTTTAAAAAGCAATGAAACAAATATTTAAGGTCGTTACAAGCTGGCAGGAAGTTGAACTAAGCCATCCCACCCCTGCTCCTGTCTGACACCCTCTTTCTGGCCATCTTGAGGTTTTCAAAGGTCACCGGATCAGGGACTAGGTCCAGTTAGATCCAGCCTGGCCAAAGAAAAACAATGCAGCAATCCAAGATGACAGTTTGCTGCCATGGAGGAGGATCCGGCATACAGGAAGCCCTCAGCAGAGAGGGGAAATGAAAGTTTGATTACAAAACTATTCATTATAACTTGTCAGGCTGACTAGTGAGCGAGGCCAGACTGTGGCTGGTGCAAAAGCCACCAGCATCAAAAAAAAAAAACCACTTGAAGGAGCATGAATAGAGAAGGGCGCACGGCAGAAACCCCAAGCCGATCCTTGGCCTGCAGGGATGCTCTGAGCCAGCCTGGAGCTCTGCAGCCAGCCAGACCTTGCAGCCAGGCTCCAAATGCTGCTGCGCAAACCCAGCCGGCGTTTTCACTCCGCCAAACTGATGCAAAACACGAGACAAGAGTCACAACGTGCCATCGCTCCTGGAGCGGCACGTGCCATCGCCCAGGGACCGCATGCAGCAGCGGGGAGCGGGTCACCCCGTGCAAAGACCCCCCGGCCGCTCGCCGCCGTGGCTGGGCACTTACCTGTGGTGCTGCCCTTGCAGCATGAAGTGCTCCAGCTCTTCGGCGATCCTGCCCACGAACTCATCCTCGTTGGGCGAGAGGAAAACGCCATCCATGCAGCGCAGCGCCAGGGTGGCAGCGGACGGGAGGCCTGCGAAGGGACAGGGACACACGGAGAGCTGGCTGCAAGCTCCCGTGCCCCCCGTGGGTGCCCAGAACCCCCTGCAAACCCAACCCGCCCCTTGCGCGGCTGCATGCGCCCCGCTGCAGCCCTGACCC